ACTATCCCCTTGGATTTCCTGTGGAAAACCATTCCTGAGCTAATCCACGTTTACTAAATTGATGCGTTTACAGTTTTTTCAAAGGTTTAATGGGTAAGGATAAACAACTTAAAGTGGAATTAAACTCTCAACTCAATCAACATTAACTATTTTAAATCTTTATGCTGCGTTAGTAAACAGATAGGAAAGTATAGTATATTTACTTCTTTAAATTGTTTTTCCATTTCTTCATATGCTTCCCGGTTTCTGGCCTAGGCAAAAAAATATCATACATCCCAGGAGTCTTCATGGGCATTTTTTTCTTTCACCTGGAGGAGGAAAGAAGGAGCTTTCTTAGTTAAGCACACCCTCCTGTCTGCATGCCTGAGCTAAGGGCAGATGGATTACAGGACATATATGTTACATGAAGCATCTCTTTTTACTCAAGATGGCTGCAGTTAGAAGTGCTAAGGTGTGTATTTCAACATAATCTCTCTACAAAATAAATCATGAAGACATGGATGGATGGGTGAATGTGCTTTGAATATTAAAAATATATTAAATAGAATATTCAATTTGTAGTGCTCATTTACAGTACCGCTTTAACACATACTGGCACATAGTTACATAGTTAATAGTTAGTCTGGCTGAAAAGACAAAAGTTCATCCAGTTGAACTATTAAAAAAAAAAAAAGTTATAATCCTATACCCATAGAAGATCCAGAGGAAAGCAAAAAAAACCCCGCAAAGCATGATCCAATTTGCTCCTGCAGGGAAAAAATATTACTTTCTGATCCCCCGAGACGCAATCGGATATTCCCTGGATCAACTTTACCTATAAATGTTAGTATCCAGTTATATTCTGTGTATCCAAGAAAGAATCCAGGCCTTTTTTAAAGCAATCCACTGAGCTGGCCAGAACCAACTCTTGAGGGAGTTTATTCCACATTTTCACAGCTCTCACTGTGAAGAAACCTTTCTGTGTTTGGAGATTACATTTCTTTTCCTCCAGACATAAAGAGTGCCCCCTTGTCCTCTGTGATGACCTCAGGGTGAATAACTCTACACCTAGTTCACTATATGACCCACTGATGTATTTATACATGTTGATCATATTCCCCCTTAATCTCCTCTTCTCAAGAGAGAATAAATTCAGTTCCTCTAATCTTTCCTCATAGCTGAGCTTCTCCATGCCTCGTATCAGTTTAGTTGCCCTTCTCTGTACTTTCTCCAGTTCCCCAATGTTCTTTTTGTGAATTGGTGCCCAAAACTGAACTGCATATTCCAGATGAGGTGTTACTAATGATTTGTACCGGGGTAATATGATATCTCTCTCTCTGGAGTCTATACCTCTTTTAGTACAAGAGAGGATTTTGCTCGCTTTAGAAACTGCAGCTTGGCATTGCATGTTATTATTAAGCTTGTGAGCTACCAGAACCCCAGATCATTCTCCACCATTGATTCCCCCAGTTGTACCCCCCACAGTATGTATGATGCATGCATATTCTTAGCCCCCAAGTGCATAACTTTACATTTATCAACATTAAACCTCATTTTCCACATAGTTGCCCAATTAAACAGTGCATTGAGGTTGGCTTGTAAGTTGGAGACATCCTGTAAGGACGTTATTCCACTGCACAGCTTGGTGTCATCTGCAAAGACTGAAATGGGATTTGTAATCCAAGACCCTATATCGTTTATAAATATATTAACAAGTAAGGGTCCCAACACTGAACCTTGGGGTACACCACTGACAACCCCAGACCATTCAGAGTATGAATCATTAACCACTACTCTCTGAATATGATCTTTTTGCCAGTTTTCTATCCATTTACATACAGATTTTTCCAAGCCTGTAGACCACCACCACCCCTCTGTCCAAGTATACCATGTCTACCACCACCCCCTCTGTCCAAGTATACCACGTCCACCGCCACCCCTCTGTCCAAGGTTTTGCTCGCCTCCTCATAAAAAGAAATCAGATTTGTTTGACAACTTCTGTCTTTCATGAATCCATGCTGTCTGTTGCTTAAAATATTTTGTTCCAGCAAGAACTCATCTATGTGGTCTTTTATTAAACTCTCCAGTATCTTCCCAACTATAGAAGTTAAACTAATAGGTCTATAATTACTTGGTAAAGATTTTCAAGTATTGGCACCACACCAATCCAGTGGTACTATGCCAGTCATTAAAGAGTCCCTAAAATTTAGAAACAATGGCTTTGAAATGACAGAGCTCAATCCTTTATACAGTATATATCAGGGGTGGACTGACAACTCATGGGGCCCCCGGGCAATAGGGGATCATGGGGCCCCTGTGTCCTTGCCCAAACTCAAAAAAGCCTATGAAAAAGGTACCAGGGGCATCTCATGGGGCCCCCTACTGACCCTGGACCCTCGGGCAGTGCCCGAGTTTCCAAATGGTCAGTCCGCCCCTGGCATATATATATATATTCCCTTCTGGCCAGCAGGAACAAGACAGACCCTGCTCCCTGTTGGAAATGTGACACAAGCAGGCCTCACACCAGTAGAATTTGATTCAAGAATGTTAATTTTTAGAATATTTATTTGATTTTCTATTGGTTTTTGACCATAATGATGAGAAAATTTGAAAGGGGCAGGATGGAAATTTTTTTTCGAAGCAACATGAATTGAATTCTAGACATGTGCTTTTCAGTAAGTTACAATTCATTTTTCAGATGATAATTATATTTTCAGAGATTCGGTTGTATGCAAATCTCCAAATGGACATAGTATTGAATGTCAACAAATCCAAGAAAAAGCTCTAATGAAATTAACAAATGCATTTGTTTCATTCGGATGACATCACGTGATGCAACAATAGTTCGGGCCCATGGGGAAATTAATTCAATTTTTGAATTTGTTTGTTAATTTGGATTTGGATAACGAATGAATCCAAATTTTGTTCCATTCATAATTGTGTTGCACATGGCGCCAGTCAATATTGTCCAGTCAACTCATGCTAATTCTCTTGGCAGGTTGGACTAGAGTCTAAAAATATTGAATCCTTCAGATTCAAATCCATCCAACTCGATAATATATCAAATACATAGTAAAAACTGTAGAATTGTTGGAATCCACTCAGACCAATGAATATACAAGAGGAATTCCAATGATACAAAACAAATTCCGAAAACAAATCAGACCAACATAACAAAATTAAGTGAAATGAAAATACCTGGTGTGGCCATGTCTATTGAATTCTACCTCTGCATTTGAAAGAGGGATAGAGCACTGCACTCCAAGAAAGCAGACCAGATGGAAGGAAGGTGAAAGTGGCTTCAGCCTGACTCCATCAAGGCCACGTCCTCTAATGTGTTTCGCCCCACCCACAGGGCCCAGTCATAGAGGTGGATACCTATAAATGTGGTTTTCATTCAGGAAAAAATCATATATATTTTTAATGAAACCTGTTTATTATGTCTCGGGTTGTATTCGAATAACAGGTCTGGATTAATTTTTAAGGGCTTTCGAACAAAATAAGTTGACTCAATGATAGCAAGAAAGAACATTCTGATGAATTATTTTTTTATGAATGTTTGAATGAAAATCTAACTGTGTATGGCCAGCTATAGATATTATTCCTATTCCCCATCTGAGAAGGGAGGGGGTTATGTATATAATCATTTGGTACATAATGAACTCCCCTCTCTGCCAGTGTATAGAATGATACTTGTAGGACCCCCAGCCCCTTAGCTATAGGCTAGGGGGAGTTTCTTTTTTTTACAATAAAGAAGGCACCTACCTCCTGGCAGATTCTGCTTCAATTATGATTTTTGTTTTAGTTCCCCTTTTTACTGTTTTTGTGATTAGCAGATATTTTTTGGTGTGACCAGTAGTTAGGTCATTAGGTAGTTATAGTAGATGTAATACTGTGGGCTGCGTGGCAACACTTTCAATAAACTGCCTTTGGTGCACAGCCACTACTCAAGCTACATTGTCAAATACAGAACATGAGAGCAAAGCAGATGCTGGCACTTAGCTTTTACTAGGTTTTAGCACCTCTATTTAATTCAGCTTCAAAGGCTAAAAACGTATAATAAATTATTTTTGTATGTGATGAAAGCACAGTTTTCATCAGGATTCATTTAGAAAATGTTTTTTTCTCCTATTGATTAAAAGTGTTAGGGCTGCAGAAAAGTTATGATAGGCAAATGTTCTTAATCCTGTGTAAAAAAAAAAAAAAAAAAAAAAAAAACAACTATTGTATATCAAATCTATGCCTTTTCTTTATAAATGTGTGTTGTCTGGAAATAAACACATTTTATCACATGATGTGCTCTGTAATGCATTGCTTATTTTATAGACCACTGAAGTTGAACTCCAAGCTTATGTAAAAGATACAAAATAATACAGCTCTGTATTGATTATTGATTATTAATGTAATTTTTAAATGCAGATAGAGCTGACAATCATAGGAAATAATTAGGAAATGACATTTCACACATATTAGACACATTACATGAATTCATGATTACTGTTGTGGGTTTAGTAACACTTTAAAGAACCTGGAGGAGATCAGCAGCACTGAGATACTAATAAGCATGAAAAAAATGTGAAAGCAGTGTTTTAAAAAATGGCCATTGTTTATGATATACAATGGTTTAGCAAACGTAACCGGTTGCCGACCAGCCACAGAACATATACTGCTGCAGGGTGGCACCGCTGCGCAAAATCACGTGATTTTGCATATCGGGTAGGGGGTGCGCGCGAGGCGTGCGACCGCCCTACCCACACCACCGATCACGGCTGCGGGTGTCAATCACCGGGTCCCGGCCAGTCATTTCAATTGCCGGCAAACAGTGACACAGAGCACAGTTGCATTGTTTTCAATGCAGCTCTGCTCCCTGTCAGTTCCCAGCTCACTGTCATGGAGAGCAGAGATTAGCTTTCTGGGACAGCTTGCAACAGTGAAGTACACAACTCCACTCACTAGTAAAACACTCCCCTCACACAGTTAACCCTTTGATTGCCCAAAAAAGTCAACCTCTTCCTCCCCAGTGCCATTAGTACAGTGTCAGTGTTTTTTTTTTTTTTCACTGATCACTGTATTGGTGCCACTGGGGATGTCAGTGACCCCAAGTCAGTTCCCCCCCAGGGTCAGAATGTCCGCTGCAGTCCCGCCATAAGTCGCTGATCGCCGCCATTATTAGTATAAAAAAAAATTAAATATTCAGTATATATATTGCCATTTGTAAATGCTATAACTTTCACGTAAACCAATTAATTTACACGTATTTGGATTTACACGTATTTACACGTAAGACATGTCACAGAATACGTTTTGGCCGAACTTTATGACAAAATTTGATTTTTAAATTTTTTTACTTGACATGTTTTATAGCAAAAAGTCCAAAATATTTTTTTTTCTCAAAATTGTTGTTTTTTTTTATAGCGCAAAAATAAAAATACGTCCAAAAGAAAGCTCAATTTGTGGTGAAAAAAAGATGTAAATTTCATTTTGGTGCAGCATTGCATGACCGCGCAATTGTCAGTTAAATTAACACAGCGCCGTAACAGAAACCGCTTCTGTAACCGCTTCCTGACTTCCCTATAGCAGAAATACTGCTAAAGGGCGGCGCAGGTGCGCAAAATCACATATATATATAAGTGATTCGCACTCCCGTGGTTTTCAAGCCCCTCCCAGATAATGTCAGATTGCCCGTCAGTACACCAGTCATCATCACATTTAACCCCTTGATTGCCAGGAACACGCTCATACACAATAAACCTCCATTGCTAGTATAGTGTCTGAACGGATCAATATCTTTGATCAGATCAGCACTATACCAGCGTACACATTAGTATAGTGTCCCCAAAAAATGCAGCATCAGCAGGATCAGCTCCGACACCTGCGTTTAGCCCCTACGCTTACTTCCCCTTTCTCCCCCAGCAAGTGCAGTGTCAGTAGGTCACTGTCACTTGATACATTGCACACAAAACCACAGGTTGGCAGAATCAGGCCTGATCTCTGTTAGCACTTGTCGGTAAATTTTGATGACTCTCATATGCAGCAGAGTGCCAGTACTAGTGCTGCTCTACCTTTTGGTGAACTGGCGAGCACCAGCGGTCTAGTACATCCTGGTCTTTCACATACCTCTTAGATTGTAAGCTCCCAGGATCAGGCCTTCCTAACCCTCTTGTATTGAACTGTATTGTTGCTGTATTGTCTCCCGTTATATTGTAAAGCACTGAGAAAACTGTTGATGCTATATAAATCCTGTATAAAAAAATAATAATACCAGCACTGCAGTATGACTTGGTGACGTGGCGAGTCCCATAAGTGTAGTACAAGCCAGTGCGGTGGCGAGCACAAGTATTGCTCGGATGCCCAGACTACATGGGGAGCAGTGACAAGATAGTTTGGGACTTGGTGTCATCCTTCTCCATATGTGGGTACCACTTATACGTGGACAATTGTTATTGAAGCGTGCCACTGTTTAGATATTTGTACAATCTTGGAACTGGTGCATGTGGCAAAGTGTGACCTAATGTGTGCCCACCATTAGAAGTGGGTGGATGCAGTGCGGTATATTCCAATGGTGGGCATACCACACACTTTTTCTGGCAGAGATTTCTTCTCTTTTTTTCATTCAGTCCATAGGCTGCATACAAAAAAAGAAAGTAGCATATACAGTAATACCTCGGTTTACGAATGTCTCTGTTAAGGTAATTTTCGGTTTACGAATGAAAATCCATTGAAAATAATGCCTCGGTTTACACATTTTTTATTAATTTTTTTCACAATACTAAGTGTATTGTGAAACTGAAGCTGTCAGTTTCCTGGAGCTAAATGATACTTTGTATATTTTAAGAAACTGAAAGGAAACATTGTATCTTTTAAGAACCTGAAAGGAAACATTGTATTTTTTAATTTGGGGAAATAAACTAAAAGAAGGGTTCTCTCTTTCAGCTGGAGGGGGAAAGTGACTGCTGAATTTCTGAACTAATGTATAGTGAAGGGGGAAAAAAACGGTAATTATATTTAAAAACTGGCACCTAACAGCTGAGTGAATTGTCTGCAATTAATTTTTTTTTTTTTAATTACCAGCAATCCTTTTACATTCATCTGTCAGTGGGGAGCCCCACTGACAGCTGAAACATTAACACATGGTTGTCACTACTAAAATACTGCATGAGTTAATAAAATAACTCAGCAGTATTTTAATAGCGTTTCCTGTTTTTCTGACCTTCTGAACAGATTAATTGGTTTTCAATGCATTCCTATGGGAAACAGTGTTTCGATTTACAAATTTTTCGCTATATGAAAAGTCCTGCAGAACGAATTAAATTCATAAACAGAGGTACTGGTACATCACTGGATTTTGAATGGTTATACCAGGATGATGCCTACAGCTGCAGGCATCACCCTGGTATCATTTTTTTTCAGCCAGCGATCGACTTTCATGTAAAAGCAATGCTAGTGGCTAATTAGCTGCAGAATTGCTTTTACAAGCAGCACAAGATGATGCCCCCCTCCCCACTGCCTTCCACGGCCTTCTCGGGCAGTCCTGTGCCATGGGGGCAACCTGAGAATGCAGCTGGTGTTTTTGCTAGCTGACCATAGAGCTATATGGAGACAGAATGGTGCCAATCATCTCTATAGTCTAAGAAATTGGAAGCTACGAGCATTTCATCAGGATATAACAGCTCCATTTGTAAATTGGGAAAGCATCTGATCTTGGTTTGATTACATAATGTAAGGGCAGAGGAGATATCTAGAGTCTGATAGAACCCAGATTTCTCAAAAAAGAATATATGACAATGCCCATTGAAGTTATAGGGGATATTTGCATTCACTGTTATAGCACTAAAAGTGATAAAAAAAAGTGTAAAGATAATACAAAAGATCAAAATAACTTAAAAAAAATTACCCTCACCCCCTGCGCACACGCGCATCTGCATTCGTGAGCACTGACCCTGTGCCAGTATGTAAACAGAAATTGCACCATGCATGTGAGGTATCACCACGCACGTTAGATCAAGGGCAGTAATTCTAACTCTGTAAATCTAAAATGGTAGCTTGTAAAGGCTTTTAAACCGTTGCCTATGGATATTAAAAACGTATGCAGTTTGTCGCCATTGCACGGAGCATGCATAGTTTTAAAAGCATGTTATTTTTGGTATCTATTTACTCGGCATACCATCATCTTTTATAATTTACCAAATAATTGGTCAATATTTAGTGTTTTTGTGCATTAAAAGCAAAAAAAGTTTTTGTTTTTTTTTAATTGCGTTTGAAAAATTGCTGCGTGAGACTACAGTTGCAAGAAAAAGTATGTGAACCCCTTGGCATTTCATGGAGTTTTGCATGAATTGGGCATAAAATGTGCTCTGAACATCATCTAAGTCACAACAATAGAAGAACACAGTCCGCTGAACATAATACTACACAAACATTAGATGTTGCCATGGTTTAATTGCACATAACATGTAAACATTCACAGTGCAGGGAGGAAAAAGTATGTGAGGCCCTAGCTTGATGACTTCTCCCAGAGCTAATTGGAGCCAGGAGTGAGCCAACCTTGACTCCAATCAGTGTGATGATATTGGATGTGTTGCTGACAGCTGCCCTGCCCTTAAAAAACACACATCTGTTTTGGGTTTACTGGTTTCAAGAAGCACTGTCTGATGTGAACCATGCCTCACAGAAAAGAGCTCCCAGAAGACCTACGATGAAGAATTGTTGACTTGCATGAAGCTGGAAAGGGTTACAAAAGTATCTCCAAAAGCCTTGATGTTCATGTGTCCACGATAAGACAGATTGTCTACAAATAGAGAAAGTTTAGCACTGTTGCTACTCTCCCTAGGCGTGGTCGTCCTGTAAAAATGACTGCAAGAGCACAGCGCAGAATGCTGCATGAGGTAAAGAATCCCAGAGTGTCAGCTAAAGGCACAAGCAGGGTGCAGGGAGGCCGTTTTTAAAGGACCACCCAATCCTGCAATGCCACCGTCCGGCCATTTATATGCAACGGCCAGTCGGGAAGTGGTTAAAGGGCTTTATTTACTCATTACACTTCCTGACTACATCACAGTTTCGGAGGCCCTGAAATGCCAGGATAGCACCAAATCCCCCCAAATGACCACTTTTTGGAAAGTAGACACCCCAAGGAATTTGATCAGAAGCGTAATGAGTATTTTGCAGATCTCGTTCGTTGCCACAAGTTTTTGAAAATTGAAGAAAAAAACAAAAACATTTTTCTTTTCTTTTTTATATTTCAAAACCTTGTGAGATCTGCAAAATACTCACCATGCCTCTTTTTAAATTCCTTGGAGTGTCTACTTTCCAAAAAGGGGTAATTTGGGGGGGTTTGGTGCTATCCTGGCATTTCAGGGCCTCTGAAACTGTGATAGGTAATGAGGAAGTGAAATGGGGAAGTTACGCACCTTCAGGCTTTCAAAGTGGTCATTGGATTTCAGGCACCTGTATGTGGCTAGGCTCCCAAAAAGTCTCACACACATGTGGTATCCCCATACTCGGTAGAAGTAGCAGAATGCATTTTGGGGTGTAATTCTACATATACCTGTCATGGAAATTTTTCTATTACAGGTTATCCTTTAAATGTGTCATATATTAGTGTTATTCATATGTCTCTCGTGTGGCTTAATTAAAGCTCTGAAGGCTGCAATTAGGCCATGCGCATTTACAATGTATATATTACAGTACTCAGCTCGGTAATGGATGAGATGGCAGATCTGCGCCTATAGACCGGCGTGTATGCCACCACGGCATTTCGATAGATAATGCCGGGTAGGCCGCGGGAGCCTGTATTCACATATCAGCAGCATAGTACCACATGGACTTCGTTATCGTATTGGCCAGGCGCCAGGCAGTGCGAACTCACGGTGTAGGGCTCATGTACATCTCTACAAGCCGCTAGCGACCTGAACTGTATCTGGATGGATGTGTTTTAATAAAGATCGTATCAGGCCCATTCAGATACAGACTGGCACTGTTTAATCTAAGGATGCTTGTACAGACAATGTACATACTGCTGGGAGCTGATAGCATGTAAATAATGTGAAACTCGCTCTCTGAAGCGAGCTTACAAGGAGTACAGAAAAATGGAAAAACTGTTTTTTAGTATAGGTTAAGAGGGAACTTTGCACTCCGAGCAGGATGGACATTCTCGTGTATGGACACTCCCTATACATTGTTCTGTGGGAGGGGATTGGATGGGGATTGGCCCCGGTGGGGTGGGGGGGGGGTTTTGTATAGATAATAAAAACAGGAGTCTGGTGTTAGACCCAGGCA